AACAGGCCCTTGATCTTGGCTCCCAGGATAGAGTGTCGCAGCAAGATGAGGTCTGATTTATGCTTTTTCTTCTCCTATAAAGACAGGAAAAGATCAGCAAAAGTCTGACTATCATCTTCCTGCCACGTCTCATCCAGGTCAGGGCCCATGTAAGTGAAGGACCTTGACGCAGCAACTCCAACAACAGAGTCAGTGAGGGTGGATGCAGAATCAGATCCATCAGAATCTGATTCAACATAAGTGGAGGGAGCTGCAGACTCCACTTCCCTCTGCTGGTCTAGGTTTTTGAACTAGAGCCAGGTCTGCGAGGCATGTGGGGACAGTCCTTGAGGAAGTGATCCCCCTCGCAGCGAAAACAAACTTCACGGTCCTTCCTCCTCTGCCATTGCCCTTCCTGGATCCTGAGCGCTCTCCAGGGAAGGGTGGAAGCATCCGTGACGTTAACTGGCCAATGGACGTCTCGTGGTAAGTTTAGTCTTTGGGCCTGAGGGGAAGTGGCACGTCCCTTCCCTTTCCCCTTCTGGCTGGCTGAGCCCTTGCTGCTATCTTTGCTGAACTTTCCCTTGAACATGGCAGCAAGGTTCTCAGCCAGGGCAAGAACGGCTGGCTCAACTGCTGATCCGGATGCAGTCTCAGATGGAGGACTCCCACGCTGAGATGCATCAGAATCAGATCCTGCATCAGCAGCCAATAGAGCGCCTTTCCTCCTGCGTTGTCCCTGGGAGGTAGGCCTCTTCCTTCCTTCCGAAGGAGTCTGAACCTTGAGCCGAGACTCCAGGTCCAGTGCCGCTTTGCCAAAGGACCTCCAGTCCTTATGGCCCTGAGCATACAATGCAATAGAGTAGTTTGGAGGGGCTGCACGCAGGAAATGGGTGAGCTGGTCAGACTCACTTATCTCCAAACCGGGTGTAGATGTCAAACTCTCAAATAAACTGTAGAATTTGGACAGAGAGCCCTCAAATCTGTGGGACCCTAGCAGCATAATTTTATCAGCTGCTTTGCGGGCCTGCTCCCTGTCAGCAAACCGGTCTTGCAGCGCCTTCAGCAACCCTGCCACCCCCAGTTGCTGTCCCCATCTATCCATAGCAACATTCTCTTTGGTTGCAGAGGAGGTGCACCGTTTCAGTGCAGACCTCTCCAACCGCCCAAGAATGGTCCCCACCTTGGTAGCTTTTGGACATGTGAAGCTGCCCAGGTATGCTTGCATAGCGGTGACCCAGTCTGACACATCCACCTTGGGGTCTTCCCCAGAGTACATAGGAGGTGGTGTCAGCTTTGGCCCTCGCTGCACTGCTGTACCAGAAGCACCAGATGGGGTGGATACATGAGAACCAGCAGGTGAGGCTGGACGACTGTGAGGTGGTGAACCCGCTGGCCGGGTGATCAGCTGGCCAGCTGGCTGTACAGGCTGTGGGGCCAGGAGAGGCAGCTTGAGGTGCTGCAGAACGTTGTTCATCCCTGTTGCCAGAGAGGTCAGGTCCTTTGCCATCTGATCCACTTTGTGTTCGATGGCAGAGACCTGACTCTCCACAGCAGAGATCCGGTGGTCCCAATTGGAAAAATAAGATCTGCTGAGGGTGTCGTTCAAGACGACCATCTCAGCAATGCTCTTATTGTACCCACTGGCAGTCCCACTATCAACAACCTTCTGGACCTCCACCAAAAGCTGTCTCCTCCTTTCCTCCTGCCTCCCTGCCTCCTCAGCCTCTTCTTTCTCCTTTCTCGGCTTGGCGATCTGTTCATCCACTTTTCGCCTAGCTTCCTCAGCAATCAGCAGTGCTTGCTCTAGAGGAGAAAGAGGAGACTGGGGTGGGTCAGGAGGGGCAGAAGTTCTTGCCTCCTTTGTCTCTTCAGACATCTTGTTTCAGCGTCAGGCATGATAAACCACTCACACAGTCAAATAAATATTAACAGGCAGATACAAGGTAAGCAGAGATTAAGATTACACACACACGCAGATGTAACCACTGCCACCTGATGAGAAGAGACGTGGTGTGATAAGCAGAAGAGCGCTCAGCCTCTGTAGGTTGTTGAGGGCTGTTCTGGGTCAGTTTAGGTCAAAACCAGAGAAAACCAGATTTGCGATTTTTCATTCACAGCTCAGAACCCTCATCTGAGTCAATGCCCCCAGCATCGCTGTCAGAAAGATAGACAGGATGCAACCTTGGACTGTAAGCAGATAGATTAGAATAGCACAGAGAGTTAGTAGCAATCCCCAGAACCCAGTAGTCAACCAAGATGCAGCGGGTGACTGAACAAGCTATTTTTAGACTCCTACTACTGACACTGGCACTGTATGACCCTGTATGCCCCACTATAGGTGAGGCGAAGTATAGATATCACTGTACCTGACTCAAAACATCAAATCCAGTATAGCGTTTTCAGACACTGACTAAGTACTGAATTGCGATTTCAGGGTGACTGACAGATTGAAATTCTGACGGACAGAACCTAAGTTATGACAAACCCTAGCTGCCCCAGGCACTGGCTATGGCAGCGCAATATTTAGAATTCCATTATCACTGACATCCAGACCCTGAACTACTCAATTCACAGTGCATACTGAATCGCAATACTGTAATACAGTCTGAGATGCAATTTGAGGCAGAAAGGAGGTCAAACAGAGTCAGTAGAAGTCAAAGTAAGTAGGTTGGAGAAATGGATATGGCTGTCAGGCAGTGCGATTGTCCAGTTTCACTGACAACAGACATACAATTAGTATTTCTCCAGTCTAATTACACTCATCAGACTCGCTACAGGGACTTGAGTAAAGAACACACTCACTTCAGGTCAAAACACTGCATGAAGAAGCTGAACTGGCTATGGCTGCCATCTCGCCAGTTTCTTCCATCCACTGTTCTTGGTGCTCCCACGTTCAAAATCTCCTGAAACTTGGTGATACTGAAGCTCTTGATATGGCGAATAATCCCCCACTAGCCAAATTCTCTGAACCTGGTCCAGAATTGGCAACTCGACATACCCCCAGGTATCTCGCCACTAGCAGAGCCACCACCTGGGCTAAAAATAGCCCCTCAGTGCCTCCCAGGCCACTGAGCACTGAATCGCCACCAATCACTGTGTCGTACCAATCGCCACACACCCTTCACCAACACCCTACTGAGCGCAACACTGAAGATGAAGTTTCTACACGAAACCCTACGTCAGAAGCTCTCAGGTAGTGATAGCTGCCTCAGTCCATCATCTCGCCACTGTCTGGGTCCGATCTGCTCCGATACCAACTGTTATGAACATGATTGTCTGCCGAAATTTGATCAGCACTCACTCACAGGGACTCCTGTACACGCCCATACATGCACAGAAGGAAGGGGAGAGGTAGTGGAGTATCACACCGCCCAACTCAAGGAAACGCAACGGAAGACTCAGGGGAGCGAAGTGACAGAAAACACAGACAGTGAATTCTCTCCACACAATTCCCAACAATCATTCATAGAAGACAACCGAGTGATCACAGCCAGAAA